CCTTGCTGACAGGCCGGACAGCACATGCTGCTGGGCAGGGCAGGCAGCTGGGGCCGGCGCCCTGCTCCCTGGCGAGCTGTGCTCGCCTCCTGCCCTGCCTGCGCTTGGCGGGCCCCTTCCTGTGCTGGGGAGCTGGGCAGGCCTCAGGGGCGCCCCGTGGGAGCCTTGGTGTCAGGAGAGCATGGGGCCTCCGTGCCTTCACGGTGCTCTGCCTCTCCTGCACGGGGTGAATCCCTGAGGTAAGAATCGGGTGGCCCACAAGAAAGCAGAGAGCCAGCTCTCTGCCCCTGCGCCCGGACTCCTGGAGTGCTATTGACTCCCTGTCCAAAAGGATTAGTGTTTTTTTTTTTTACCCTTTTTTTTCTCCCCCCCCCCCCCTTTTTTTCTATAATTTTCCTTTCTAAGAGCTCTGTTATAACGAGAGATTTTTTTTAAGCTTGTTTTATGTCAGTAGGACTTGTATTTGAGCCAATAAAATAATGGCTATTCAAACAATGTTTTGCTTAATGTTGCAGTATTAAAATAAAACTAGTATTTAAGCTTCTAGAGTTGTTCCACATTTTGTGATTGGGCAGTCTCTAGAAGAACTGAGGTTGAATAAATACTGACCTCTGCTAGGAAAGACAGTGAGTTCTGTGTTCAGAAATACACATAAGTTTTAAATGATCAAATGATGAATAACTGTTCGTATGAGTTTGCTGTGTTGTTGCTGCATTTGTTTTGTTTTGTTTTTAAATATGGTTATGTTGTAATAAAATTTTGAACACTTGGACTTGCCGTTCCTAAAGGGAAAAATAACCTCTGTAGTCTGCAGATTTTGTTACCCAACTAGTCACCAAACATAGTTGCTTTGTTATTATCAGAGTAGTTGGATATGCAGATGGAAATGACTTGCTGTGAGTTTGCATGAGTCGCAGTATTTCTGGTAAGCAAATGGTGTATGAAATGCCAGTCAGGGTAGCTGCTATGACCAAAAATGATTTTTTTTTTTTTGGGTTTTTAAATCTTGAGCTCCTAATTTACATCAGTGAATGCTTAACACAAACAGTGTTTGTTATATTTGTTCTTTTCCCCGCTATTCCTTTCCCCTTTTTTCTTTTCTCTCATTAGCTAATCTTTAAAGATTGTATTTTACTGTTTCAATGTGGGTAGCTGTGGGTAACACTCTTCTTCTTTCCCTGCTCCATATCTGGAAGGGTGGATCAAGCTGTCTGTGCTTTTTTTAAATGATCCAATATGTTTCAGTTGTTTCAGAATATGTCCAATATGTTTCAGAACTGAATGGGCTGGTAACCCATAGCACTGTCTTACCAGCGTCCTTCATCATTCCTAGAAGAAGCCCTTTTGAAAAGGAGAGAGAGCAGACCAGTCACTTTGCCTGCTACATTTCTAGTCTCTGCCAAAATTACCAAAAGAATACTGTCCGCCATGCTACTTGTCTGAGAATTGGTTTGAAATCAGCTTATTTTGTACAAGGTAACAAGGAGTTAAACTAATTTTTGTTATGCTTCAGTAAGCAAAACAAGCACAGGGTGGCAACGCGTAAAATAAAAGAACATACCAACAGCAGCTGAAATTTAAGAGCAATATCATGCATTGAGTGCATTACTAAATCTTTTCTGAAAAACCTGCATGGTTCTGTAGTGCTTCATT